TTTGTTTACAGTTTTTGTGCGAGAGTAAAAAGTAAAGCCAACATGAAAATATTGGTAGTCGTGTTCGAACAGTCATGGAGGATTCGTTAACTCTGACTCTCGGGTAATTCTTCACTGTTGGACGCGCACTATTTCCCATCAATTGAACTATCACAGCATAAACATTACAAGTTGGGCTTAGTCGAGATCCTAGCGTTCAACTCGATACCTAATATTGACGTACGTAATAATAAATTTTACGTCGGAAATCAAATTATCGACATATCTGTCGGGACCTACGAAATCGATGACATTGATAAATTTTTTCGCAGAGCTACACAGCATGTCGGTACTGATAATATAACATTAAGTTTGAAACCAAACAACGATACCTTGCATTGTACAATTAGATTCATAATTCGAATAAGGACAGTTTTTTGTATGATTTGATATTTTCAGTATTTAAAAAAATATGATGTACAATTTAGATTCGAAATTTTAATACTACCGTATTTATTTGAACAGATAATTCTAAGAAGCGCCCAAGCTCTTGTATGGATTACACTGCAGATAATGAGGGTAACAACAGGAATAGTATTGTTTATCCAAAACCAAAACAGGAAGCTTTGAATAAAGAAATAACCGTTCTTGAATCTGAATTAAACTGTCTTATTACAAAGCGAGACGCAGGTTTGGGAGATGACAATATAGACAAAGCTATTACTAAAAAAAGAAAGAAATTAGCTGATTTGAATAAAGAACTGAAAGAAAAGATATCTAAAGTTGAGTGGCAAAGAAAAAACAGAGAAATCAAACGACAAAAGTTACAAAACTTGAAAGAGGTACATCCAGAGGCAGCTCATTTACTTAATGTCAGAAATGAAGTAGGCCGACCAAGTTTAGAGACGGACCAAGGTGGTTTGTTGCAAGCCATTGTTGACATAGCTATGCATTCTGGAGCAGCTGCCGATAAACGTTGATCTGAAGCAATTCGTGCTTATAAAACTCTGAATGCTGTCTGTGAGGAAGTGGCATTAGCTGGATATCATATATCCCGTACAGCACTTTATCATCGATTTTTACCTCGTTGTTCGAAGTCGAGACAAGCACAGCGTCATGTAACGACCGTTCCAGTGAAGCTTTGTCGTGCTTAACACGACCTTCATAGAGATCATAAAGATCAACATTTTTGTCAAGCTACTATCCACGGACTTGAAGAACTTGCATCTGTTCTTGGACCTCAGCAAGTGAGTACTCATTATATATATATATATATATATATATAAAGCAACAGTAGAGCTCCAAATTATTTACAGAAATGTTATTTAACTCGATATTATATTTTCTTCTTTTTTAGGTCTGTATCATTTCGCAAGATGACAAAGCTAAAGTACCTTTGGGAATCACCGCGGCTAAAACATAAGCACCAATCCTCATGCATTTAGAATATAAAGTTCGCCTTCCAGATCACGATTGGGCTGTTTGTCATCGCCATAAACGCACTCCGTCTGTTTACGCTGGCATAGTTATAAAGAATAACGGCATGGGTAGAAAAGAAGCTGTTACGTATTCAGGGCCTACGTACATCGCAATACGTAGTGGCAAGCACAGTAGTTCAACAGCTTCTACACATGCGTTCGATTTTGATCGATTGGCAGAATTAGATGATTTTCAATCAATCATAAAACAAGATGATGGCAGCTTTAAACCTATACTTATGTTGTCAGTAGACGGAGGACCAGATGAGAACTCTCGCTACAAAAAGGTCATAGGACACACCATTGAGCATTTTAAAAGCAAAAATTATGATGCTGTTTTTATTTTTACAAATGCTCCAGGAAGATCAGCTTTTAATAGAGTCGAAAGAAGGATGGCTCCTCTCAGCAGAGCTCTTTCAAGCGTTGTTCTTCCACACGAACACTTTGGTAGTCATCTTGACGGGAATGGGAAGACAATTGACGAAGAATTGGAAAAGCTGAATATTGCCTTTGCTGGTAAAGTGTTGGCAGATATTTGGTCAGAGTTATCTATCGACAATTATAATGTTACAGGTGAGTTTGTGCCAATAGACAAAGTCTGTGAGCCCAAAGTTAACTTTGATAATACTAACAATGCTGATAGCTTTTGGTATTACAATCATGTTCGAGAGAGCCAGTACTTTCTTCAGGTAAATTAAAATTTATTCTTATAATTTTTTCACTATTGCAGTATAAAATTTTTATTCATTAAATTTTAGATTGTCAAATGTGATGACGAAACATGTTGCTCTCCGCTACGTAGCAATTTACGTGAAATTCTTGACAAAGATTTTATCCAGCACCTTTTCCATTAGCTCAACCTCTTGCAATCCCTTCTTCGTCTATAAATCATACATCTTAAAAGTTTGGATCTTTTCTATTGAGACAGTCTGTGACTTTACGACCTGAATATCCTCGTACAAAAGAAATTCCTTATGATCTTTATTGTCCATCCATTCAGGCCGAAATTGTCAAAAGAACATGTCCTAATTGTGGACTCTATTTTGCATCAAAAGCTTCAGTGGATTATCACAAGTAAGAATTGCTAAATAAAAATTCAGCATAAGGTGAAGTATCAGACGAGTAAAATAAATAATAAAAAAAATGCTCTGATTACAGTAAAATAATTCACAAAATGGCATACACGTCATCTCGAGTACAGCCGCAGCGAGTGCTTAATAAAAGACCTGGAGAACTACTATGCTTGTTATCTGAAGATAATGTTGAATGGATTGATGTTGAATCAATAGAAGAAGACACTCAAACATTGATAGAGGAGTCGGTATCAGATGTTGCAATGCCTGTGATACAATACGTTGATCAGAGGATAAAAGATGGCATTCCATTTACCGAAGACGTTGACTAATATTACTAAAGTTGATTTGTTAAACAGAAAAAAAAATATTGAAAGTTTTTTTTAAATAATTTATTTGAAACAATAATTTATCAGAATATTTATTTAGATATTTAAAAGTATTTATTTAGGTAAAAAAATTGTAATGTTTAAAAACTGAAACTCGGCTACGTAGTTTGTGAACGATCCCTTACGAGGCCCACTCCGAGCTGTTTCTAACTCCCTCGTAAATTATATAACGAGCTACCCGCGCTGGGTCAAAACCCCGTCATAAAGTAGATAATCTGTTGAATAACATGTATTTTTATAAGATATTTTTATCAATAAAAGAATTTTTTTCAATTGATACAGAAAAATATTCTTTTTTTTTTTATTAAACTATCCAAAAAAGCGAAATGCTTCGTGACTCTGACGACAACAGTCGCAGCAGCAGTAGTTCTTTTTATAATAAATTGTGTACTTTTATCAATAAAAGAAATGTTTATTTATTGTAGTTGAGGTGGCGTATAATGATGTCATGTTTATATATGATTATTAGTCTTTTATATTGTTATTTTATATTATTACGTATTGTTACGTGACGAACCATTTTCTTTTTTTGTGCAACCGTATGCTTGATTAGACTCTCGCTTTCGCGAGTCCCACTCGTGTGCGCGCCTTGGCGGGAACGAGTGGGAGACGCTGAGCATGCTGCTGTGTTATGCTGCGATAGCATGCTGCACTCAGCGTCCTAGTCTAAGTAATACGAAACAATTAAAACGTATGCACTAGAGAGAGATGGAGTGTGAGGAATGAGAGAGGAAAAAAAGATATATAAACAAACGGTGAGAACGAGCATCATTCTTCAGTTAGGAGTGAGCGCCCGATTAAGAAGGCTGCAAATCTTTTTCTATAATATTAAAATTGTCAGAGTTATTGAGTTTATTAAAATCTGAATTTATTAAAGTTCAATTTTATCAAAGTTTGAGTTTATTGAGTTTAATAAAATCTAAATTTATTGAAGTTCAAATTGATCAAAGTCTGAGTTTACTGGAATATTAAAAAGGTGTTGAGTGCGATTATTCGGATAATTTCTTTCCCTTCTACAAATAAAGACCATAGAAAAAACCCCTATCTCATCTGGAGCTGCAAAATTGAATAAAAGCTTAAATATATATATTGGAATAGTAAATCGATCAGAACGAAGAAAGAGCATAATTACATATTAACCCAATAATACCAAAGGACCAAATTGTACGAATATTATTGTTACAAAGTGATTACCATTTATTTTTATATAATAAAAATAATAGACTATGCATGGCGAGACGAATACGTTTGATTATACCTATACATAAATATCTCTCTCTCTCTCTTTCTCTCTCTCTCTCTCTCTCTCTCTCTGCGCTTGTTTGTTCACTTTTACTGTAATAATAATATTTAAAATAAACTTATAAATACAGTCACCGGAAGTCTATCCATATATTTTCCCGGCTTTAATTAAACGAATAAAATTATGAATTACGATCGACAAATCAAAGCAAAATTATTATTGACGAGCGATCGGGACGGAGAGCCCGATAGCTTGAGAGCCCCCGAGTCAACGACCGCTCGGCTGCAAGGAAGGCTTGTATACGGTCACTTAACCCGGAATGGTCACACCTTCTTAAAATAACGTCATGGTCACATGGGGTCAAAATGACCCGACGTAAAAAAACAGCTGCCAATTGCGTTTTTTTAAGTGTATCGATTCAAATCTTGCGGAAAAACCAAGTTTAGGACTTCTTCTATATAATCAAATTGGTTTTTCAATTTTTTTTCAATTTGTTAACATGCAAAAATTGCAATAAAATTTTTTTTTCGGAAATAGTGACTTGTTTTACTAAAAAAATTCTTGTAATTTTGATTTTAGGGGTAAGTTAAAAAAAAATTCAGGGTTGTACTCTAGAAATAGTATAGTTTCAAGAAAAAAATAGTTTTGTATCGTAGCTTTCAAAAAATATATTTATTTTGAAGATTGAAGTTGTCAGTTTTAGCAAAAATCACGAAATGAGGTAAATGAGTTTTAAGTTGTGAAATAATGTATTAAAAGTTTTCCAAACTGAAGATTTATTATTTTATTTGTATTATATTATGAAAAACAAGTAGAAAATACATTGTAAGCTGAAAAATTATTCGTGGCCGGCACAATCAGTGTAAATATAAGCTCGATGATCATCGCACATCAGTCTCTCACATGATGGACAAAGTGACTTGGTCTTCCTGTCAGTTCCCCGCTTGCAAAGACCGCACCTTTTCCTGGTCGGTAACTCGACTCTTTCTTCGTCAAGCACCTGAACGTCTTTGTTCAAAATGGTGTTGATTCCTGCTCGTAAACTATTTCGGAGTGTAGGCTCCGTGGAACGACGTACCAAATGCGGTGTGACGAGATGCATTACCAATTTGTCTAAGCATGCTTTAGCTGATATCGATTTCTTGACGCCATTGTTCACCAATTTACATTTCAGTAATATACGTGCATTAACAGCTGCTATGTCAAGCATACCAAAAAAAACTCTGAGTGGCCACCGATTGGTTTTAGCACAAACGGTATGCGAATGGCAGAGCCAATCGAAGCAATCTGTCCCTCCTTTTGTCTTGTTGTAGTCTAAAATAACTTCAGGTTTTCCATTATTCGTAGCATCTGTACATTTATCAGAAGAAATTACCAGCACTATTTTATTCTTTTTTGGAGTGTAAGACACGAGCATCAAGTCGTTTGCATGGCAGAATTTAGCACTTAGGACAGACTTGCCAGATACTTTGAATTCGGCAGGTATTTCTTTCTTGTTTTTCTTTACCGTGTCGGTGATTTTCAATCCATATGGCTCTTCTTTCATACGTTGTAGAAGTGGTACAGAAGTGAACCAATTGTCGCAGGTGACGGCACTATGTGTGTTATAAATTGGAACTGTGCACTTTCGAAAATAATATTCTGTCAGTTGTTCATTTTCCAGTTTATCGCTCAATGGAATTTTGCCTAGATAAGGGAGAACATAGATCAAGTATGAAGTGGTAGGATCGTTCAAAGCAAAAATTTTCAAACCGTATTTATCTGGCTTTGATTTTATATACATGCGGAATTTACACCGCCCACGAAATCCAAGTAAAATTTCATCCAACGTACAATTGCGACTCGGCTGATAACAGCTCGTGCAATTCTTGATAAATATCTCCCATATTGCGCGAATAGGCGAAAATCGATCGTCTTTGTTTCTGGTTTGTTTATCATCGAATCTCAAACACGACGATAACAACATGAAACGAGCTCTGGACATTACACATCTGTAAAAGTTGATTCCATTGTGATTACTCCATAGATCGTGAGTATTCATGCCATTTGATTTCCAGGCACTGATATAATATAATATCCCTATGTATGCTCGAATTTCTTCTTCGTCAGTATAGTGATGGTACGTTTGTGTTTCTTTACCTAGCGCCATCATTTGAGCACAGTGATTTTCAATCTGTGCGTTAGTGTGTTCCACAATGATTTTTATAATATCATTTGGAAATAAACCTTCCCAAAATTGCTCTATAGTTTCAAAATTTTCTGCTGGGCCAGCAGATCCAGGAACATAATCATTTTCAACATTACTGAGTCGACCTGACAAAAATAATAAAAGAAAGTGAAATTAAAAAAATTCTTTACTAATACTATTGCCATTCTTTCCTTTTAGCTTACTTCTTGGACGCCCTCGAGCGTTCGATTCTTAGAGACGCTGTGCCAAAGACGCGTTCTCCCAATCTTGTTCCATATCTTCATCAGTCGGGCCATCCGATGTAAAAGTCAACTTCATATTCGTCGGACTCCTCCGACTGCTCTGAAATGTGATCATCAGACTCCGAATCACTTCCATCGATGGCTTCGACGGTTTCTTCATCTCGCAATGAGCCAGTGATTGATTGCGATCGTAAATTATATGACATCTATAAAAAATTATACATTTTATCACCAAGTGTACTATGTATCATTTATTTATTTGCAGCTCAACGTAGTTAAAACTACTTTAGGAGCGAACAAAAAAAATATATCAACTCGTAAACGTATACTTACGTTCAAAATCACACTCTGGCGAAGAAAACAAATTATTTCATAAACACTTTTTCGATCAGTTTTACAATACTGTGGTCACACACGGTCAAATTGACCCCAGCAGGAAAAACGTCTGTACACATTAAGAGCTACAGATGCACTGATGCCATGATGGCGTCCAAAAACCGTTAGAATTCATTGTACTACTTTCAAATAACAACAGGTGGCACCACTTGTATCGATAAAAAGTTTATTTTCTGAACTACATCAATCCAAAAACTGCCTGGGGTCATTTTGACCTAGTGTGACCATTCCGGGTTAAAACGTATGACTATAAGTCTTTTCGTTATTGAACTGCTGCTAGCCTTTTTGTTCAGGAAAATTATTAGTATTGTTCGAAAATTTGGAAATACACTGCCGGTCAGTCACTTTTACACCCCCTTCCCCCGAGCAAAATTGCTTGAAATTGGAAATTTCATATTTTTGGTCAGAATCAACGTCCAGAGACGAGCGGGAGCGCATTTGAAAGCTATTTTCAAGAGCTTTCGAATAGTATGCATCGCAAAATTTATGAAATCGGATTTCTAATTTTTTCAATCGAATATTCATCAATGAAAATTCCAAAATTTTAAGTCTACCTTTGACAACTTGCCAATTCTAGGGAAAAAGTTCCACGAAAATTTTGAGCACAATATTTTCTTCCTTTTTCCAAACCCAATCCAAATCACTCGTCAAAAAATTTTTTCCATCAAATATGACCCTTGTATGAGAAATTTTCTTGAAAATTGACACGTTTCTTCAACTTTTTATAACTTTGTAAATAAACATCCTAGAAAAAAGTGTACATGAAAGAAAATGTTTCTTTATTTATGTAGAATAATGTAGAATTTTTTCAGATTAAAAAAAATATTTTTTTTATCCATCTTCTATGGTCAGTCCAAAAAAAAGTAAAATATTCATCTGCAACGTGAAATTGTCTTTTTGTAAAATAAAAATTGTAGATTTCAAAAACTTGTTGTTGCCATTTTTTTTTCCTCACAAGAACGTTGTTTTTCAATAACAATAATGAAATGTCATGATTCAAATGAAAATACATGCTTAATCTGTAAAGTTATTTATTTGAAATAATAACTTTACATAATTTTTATTGAGCCTAAAATTTGAAGATTATCTGCTATTTCACTCTGGATTTGATTCTAGCGTGTTTTTAGTAGAATGTCATAACATAGAAATAGACAACAAAAAATAGATAACAAAATATAGACAAAAGTAACCAAATGCTATAGGACGATGAACCAAATTTTTTGCTAAATATCATTCGAAATAAATAAAATTAGAATAAATAAATGCACCGTCTTATAACAATAACACGTAACAATAGTGACTTTGTAATTAACAAACATAAACTTGCGATAATTAGAACTTGTGTCACACAAATTAAACTTTTTTTTCATAAAAACCCTCCTTTATGCTTGATAACAGCTTTGCATATTCTTGGCATCCTTGCGACTAGTTTGTCCAATGTAGTTTCTTGGAGATTGTTCCCTTCTCTTTGTAAAATTTCCCATAAATTAGTTGCAGAGCTTGGACAAGATTTTCTCACTGCTCGACCGAGCTCTTCCCATAGCAGTTCGATGGGATTCAAATCAGGCGACTGGGCTGGCCATTGCATAACTTTCAATTTTTTTTTCTTTTATAAATTTGAGAGATAATTTTTACATAATTTGGATGTATGTTTTGGATCGTTATCTTGCTGAAACACAAATTGTGCTCCGACTAGTCGAATTCCTGATGTTACAGCGTGCCTTTGTAGAATGTTTTTGTAACTTTCTTTCTTTAAGATTCCATCACTTTTTACAATATCACCTACTTTTGATCCAGCAAAATAACCCCATACCATAACTAAACCACCACCATGCTTCACACTTGGAACTAAACAATTACTATTATATTTCTTACAAACCCGTCTTCTTACATACATTCTCCTTCTACTTCAAAAAATTTCAAATTTTGACTCGTCAGACCACAGAACATTTTTCCAATCAGAAATAGTCCAATTTTTATGACTTTTTGCACACTGTAAGCGTTTCTTTTTATTTACACATCGTAGAAGTGGCTTCTTAACGGCAACTCGACCAAAAAGTCCTTTCTCTCTCAAACGATTCTTTACCGTACTCATACTCACAGGTTTTTCTAAATGTTTGTTGACATCTGCGGTAAGTTCAGAGGCAGTGGCTTTTCGATTACGCAAACTTGTTCGACAAATGTAGTCATCTTCTTTGGCAGTAGTTTTTCTTCTTGGTTTGCGTTGCCTATTTTCGACACTTCCAGATGTACAGAACTTTTTAATATTATAAGCCACTGTGCGCCTGTCTATTTTCAAATGCTTTGAAATAGCGTGACTACTCATTTGCAGTTCATGAACGGCAATGATCTTATTACGTTCACGCCTGGACAAATTTTTCGATTTTGCCATGTTCACTACACATTACACAAACAGTTCACACTTGAAACGCTCGGGATCGACTAGTTTGCTCATAATCGTAGACACAGAAATATTTAAGAAGATACCACATTTCATATGATGAGCGTTCGTATATAACTTTATTTGTAAACACCTAAGTATACAGCGTGTTGGGTACCTACTAAATAAGCCTGTGATTACTCGGTGTGAACACACACACGTATACTCACTATCGTTTCCTGTACAATTTAGTATATTTTTTTTGCACCGGCTATAAAAACAGCGATGAAAAATGATTGAAAAACAACGTTCTTGTGAGGAAAAAAAATGGGAACAACAAGTTTTTGAAATCTACAATTTTTATTTTACAAAAAGACAATTTCACGTTGCAGATGAATATTTTACTTTTTTTTTTGACTTACCATAGAAGATGGATAAAAAAAATATTTTTTTTTAATCTGAAAAAATTTTACATTATTCTACATAAAAAAAGAAACATTTTCTTTCATGTACACTTTTTTCCAGGATGTTTATTTACAAAGTTATAAAAAGTTGAAAAAACATGTCAATTTTTAAGAAAATTCCTCATACAAGGGTCATATTTGATGGACAAATTTTTTTGACGAGTGATTTGGATAGGGTTTGGAAAAAGGAAGAAAATGCTGTGCTTAAAATTTTTTTGGGATTTTTTCCCTAGAATTGGCAAGTTGTTAAAGATAGACTAAAAATTTTGGAATTTTCATTGATGAATATTCCATTTAAAAAATTAGAAAACCGATTTCATAAATTTTGTGATGCATACTATTCGAAAGCTCTTGGAAAGAGCGTTCAAATGCTCTCCCGCTCGTCTCTGTACGTTGATTCTGACCAAAAATATGAAACTTCCAAGTTCAAGCAATTTTGGTCGAGGGGGGGGGGGGGGTAAAAGTGACTGACCGGCAGTGTAGTTTGTTTCCATATCGATGATTGTTTGTTCTTCTTCTCGTCCGGATATTGTTATGGAAGACGTGAGTACTTTACTTTAGGGTAGCATTCCATTTTATTGGAATACTGGTCGATGAATGATTCGATAATTCTTAAGCTGTACTATTTATAGTAGTTTACAATCACGAAGGCTACAAATAAAAGAAAGTAAGCAGGATTTGGTGCTGCATTTTTTGTCTTGGACTTCACAAATACTTGCACTTTTTTCATTAAACGGTCTTCGGTAAGTGACACACACACACACATACACAAACACACGCGCGCGCGCACGCACGCACACACACACACGTTGAACTGCAAAAAATTCATTTTAAACTAATTATATATATATACAGGGTGGCCCATTTTAAGTGATCCACTCAGATATCTAGATTGGAGTGAGTTTTATCGAAAAAAGTTTCAGACAAAAGTTACTCAACTTTGAGGGGGCCATGTTTCTATGACCTTGGATTTGACCTTGGAGGTCATGTTCAAGGTCATTTCAAGGTCAACTTTGTTTTTTTAAATAGGAACCCCCATTTTTGACCCCGGATTCGGAAAGAGCGGGAAATTTTACGTCCAAAACGGTATTTTTAAATTTTTTTTCATGGCCTAGAGAAGGTCGATTTAAGGTCAAATGCTTGAAAAACTGCATAAAAGCGTTTTTTTAATTTTTAAGATATCGAAAAATGACCTCTACAAAATTTGTTCAGAACAGAGTGGGCCACCCAATGCACCAAAAACCTTTGACCTTTAACCTCATTTTGAAGGTCATTTCAAGGTCGAAGTGTTTTTTGTAATGGAAACCCCTCTTTTTGACCCCGGATTCGCACATAGCGCGAAACTCAACACAATACCTTATCCAAACGTCGGATTTCGCGCTATGTGCGTATCCGGGGTTAAAAAGAGGGATTTCCATTACAAAAAACACTTCGACCTTGAAATGACCTTCAAAATGAGGTTAAAGGTCAAAGGTTTTT